TGCAGCTAATACACGTGAGCATGCGCAGAATAATTTGTGCGTGGGCGATTGTCTCGCGACGATACCAGTCCATCACGTATAAGCGTCGGTAGATATATGGCACGAGTGAAATCTCACGTGATATGCGTACAAAACCTCGTTGAGAATGACTCCCTAGGCCTTCAAAACACATAGCAATAGTCTACGGGCCCATATCTACCTATACATGTCCCAAATACCTCACTCATACGCACCTTCAGTTCTCCACGCCAGACTTCGCTCATACGCGACTTCGTGTCATCATCATCATAAATTCTTCTTCTTCTTCTTCTTCTTCAATCCCGCTATCTCCTTACCAGAACCAGTTGAAGCGCTGATCTTTTCACTGAACGTCTCCATTTTCGCCGGAGTGTGCACGGACATCAAGCGACCGTTTTCTTTCCTGCTGTAAGTCACTACGGTAGTGATGGAGCTCTTCCATGGTCGACACTGAACAACGTCATTTGCTGCCAACTCAGCATCAGTAAGCCGCGCGCATGCGCTATGCAGAGGCGTTGTCGAGCTGTGCGCGCGTATTGTTACCAGGCGAGTTGACAGACCTGCAGAGGAAACTCCTTAGCCTCCAGTGCCTTCTGTGTGTCAGTGTGCACATTTCCAACTGGCTAGCTTGCGTTTTGCTGTTGATTTACACGGTTGCAGAGTCAGCGCGGTGTTACGCGAGCATTGCCAGGTGCAAAAAAGGGGCCTTCATTTGTCCCCCTAGTTGGAGCCCTGATTACCAAAGCCTGACCACAACCGTGTGCCATAACCTAATTACATCCTTGTTGAAGACAATGCCTGAGGTGAATATGGTATCTAGCTAGCTCCTGCTTGAGGCACTAGCAGCCATTAGCTACAGCTTTCAACAATTAGAGTTTGTCCTTGGTAACCTATCTACAACATACCTATGAACATCAGAGTGACTGTAACAATAAAATACAGTGTGTCGTGAGCTATTAAAATAGTGGAAACAAGTGGAAATCATTTCTTCCCAAATGAAAGGGGGATATAGGGATGGCTTGAAGCACCAAAAGGAAGAAAACCAAGGGGTCATACACAGCTAAGATGCACAAAGCTACATGACACCATCCCTATATCTTTGTTTTGTGGAAGTTAACTTTTTAATATCGAACAAAAGATATAGGGATGGTGTCATGTAGCTTTGTGCATCTTAGCTGTGTAATGACCCCTTGTTTCTTCCTTTTGGTGCTTCAGCCATCCCTATATCCCCCTTTTCATTTGAAAAATGATTATTCCACTTGTAGTACTTGGTTCGTAAGTGTATCTGTCTGTCGTCAGTCTGTTACCACGTTTTCTGCGACTACGCGCAACGAGATAACAAATAGCGATACCAAGTGATTTCCTCACTTCAACCTTCAACTCAACTCAAATCTTTGGTGTTGGTAAAGGAGTTAGATTGGTACACTCCTCTTTACTTGAAAAAATTCCTTGGACAAGAACCAAATGCAGTTATTTTGTAGTAAGTATTGTTGGCTTGCTTATAATGTAGAGCTGCATAATTTGTCCAGTTAGTGGCTATTAATTACAAAATGCGAGTGATCATCATACAATTACCAGAATACCATAGTTGTGTCGTTAATGCAGTACTCTTGTTGAGTGAGGCCCATCTTTCGACTTGGCATAAGGGCAATGCACACTCGCAACATCATGTACGGAGGTTACTGGGTCGCTCGTCATACGCAGATGCATTGTGTATGCATTCCAGTACATTACTTAGACTATCTACTACTATACCTAGCCCGTGTCCAGACTCTCTCCGCTAGCTACCAGCGGGATACCACGAGTAAAGACATACAAGCCCAGCCCATCCATTTAGTGCTACCGCACATGCGCAGAAATTTTCGCCGAGGCACGTTGTCTATTTAAAGAGTGGTTTTTGAGATACTTGTCTAAAGTTCTAAAACTCGACAACACAACGTGCAGAAAGTTTGCAACTGACTTACTTCAAACCCCGCACCCAACCCAATGCGAATAAATCAGTAGATATCCGGCTTATAGGACAGACATCAGGCTACAAAAAGCCATGTTTGGATCCATGGCTCTTGGTGTTGGTAGCGAGATCAGTCTGACCGTATCAAAAGTATGATCTGATTGAACACTGAAGTGAAACTGGGAATCTTCAAATGTATGGTCATAAATGTAAAGGATGACCTTTGTCTCCCTATATCACTAAGTAGACTAGACTGGACCGTACGTAGTGATGTTCTCTCACACTTCAACCATGTCAACTCACACTCAATCTTTGTGTTGGATAAAGGAGGAGTAGTGGTAGCATCCTGTTTATTGAAGATCCAATTCCTTGGACCAGATTACGACACCAATCGCAGTAACATTTTTGTGTAGTAAGTATATGTGGCTTGGCTTATATGTAGAGCGGCATGTCCCAATTAGGCTATTAATTACAAAATGCGGAGCGGTGATCAATCACTACAATACAGGGATACAATAGAGTCATGTCGGTGATATGCAGTACTCGTGTTGGTGAGAGGGGCCCCATCTTTCGACTGGCATAAGGGCAATGCACACTCGCAAACATCATGTACGGAGGTTACTCGCTCGTCATACTTACGCAGATGCATTGGGTACGCATTTCCAGTACATTACTTAGGACATTTACTAATGCAATCCACATTCCTGTCCATAGCTTCAACATGTTCCCTTACACTTACAGCCTCCCTTCATGGTGGTTTCATGTACCTAGCTGTAGACATATCACATCTCAATCAGTCCTAAAGCAAATCGTCCATATCCAGTATAGGTGCTGTAGCTACATGACACACTAAGTATACAACATCACTAAGTACGATAGTACTTACGTAGTACACGTGGCAACATTAATTTCTTCAAACTGAAGATGTAGGGACGCGCGTAAATACGAAAAGTATAGCTACCACAACGAAAGATGCTTCAGCCTGCAAACACAAAAATTGTCCGATTCTACATCTTCTTTACTCAGCTGCTGTCTAAGATGTGTAGGCACTTGTTATTGGCGTAGGTATACTAAAGTCATAACCAATCACAGTTGAGCGTTGTGAGTTAATAGAAGATGTGAGCGAGGGATGTATGATCAGAAGGGGTCAGTCGGGTCCACCTTTGATGTGGCGTGGGGTCAGAGCTTGATGTTGCTTCATCTTACCCTTTACAAAACACTGGTGCTATTGATGCTGAAATGCATAGGTCTCAACTATCCCAAATTCGGGCGGGAGGGTACGATTTGCCACGGCATTGTCCGCCAATCACCTTGCTTGTTCCGCGATTTCTAGGTCGTACTCGCGCGGGGTAGTGACCAACAGGTTGCAGCAGAGCAACGAATCATGGACAACTACTGACTCTGGTACTCTCTAGCACTGCGGTATAATATGTCAGTGTACTGTTGCTTCAAATATAGACTCGTAACGGCGGGCGATCGCGGGTAAATACTAGTGAGCAAGCTCCTGACTGGACCATACGCGCATGGCTGCACTAGTTGTTTGCGCGTATGTCCCGATATTGAGCAATATTAATATCATAGTCCCACCAACTCCTGCTGCAAGGTTTATTTTTGAGTTTTGAGACCTCCTATGTAAATGTCTACTCCAGGTGTAGGTAGGAAACAGCATTTACAAGGATGAGGGAAATAAAAAGATGTGGACTGACACAAAGCTATACACAGCAACGACACACCAAGTCTACATGACACACTCCCTAATAATATTTTGAGTGAGGTATAGCTATATAACTATGCGGCATCTACTTGAGTTCAAACTACCCACTCATCCTAATAACGTACTGCAGGACTCTAACCTCCTGTACTCAACATTGCACTGCTTGTATCATTCCTAGATTTGAACAAAATAATGTGGTTTTTGAAAAATTTTGCTCTCTCCTAAACTGAATGAACAAACAAAATATGTTACTTTGGATCTTTACAAACATTCATGACTGTATATAAGAACTCATTAAACTCTTTTGGCGCGCGCGCGAGTTACGCAATTATTACGCGCGCAGCACGGGCGATCGCCACGCAAGGGTGTCGCCGCGCGCGCATACACGCCGACGTGCGGATTTCCTTCGCAGTAAGCCGTCCTGTGGACACGCTTGTAGTACTCTAGTTAGCGCTCTACCAGTCTCTCAGCCCTGCTGTGATGATTCACTGACAAGCTTACTGCCGAGAGTCGTGAAGACTGTGATCCAAAGCAGGAGACCAGGCCCCTGAGAAGCGGTAGGCCTTTCAATTAAAAATGATATAGACTCATACTTCAACCTGTAACTCTAAGGGGACTACAGTAATGCAGGGGTTACATATTATTGCTACAGGTAACGTTGTGGGTCTACTTTTGTGTGTGGGTACAGTTCAAAGCACGGACACCACAACACATCGGTAGCTTGGGCACTGTTTGCAGCAGACGTTGTTGTTTTCCTCCACTCTGCCCTTAGGCTTGCTGCAGACCGTGCAGTCCTGCTGGATCTGCTTCCTGTCGCTGTCTTCCCGAGCTGGCCAGGAAAATGTCGTCGTGCAGGCGAGGGAGACTGAGGATTGACGTACCTCTTGTCATGTGTCCACGTTACGAAGAAGAGAGGAGAGAGAGAAGTGGGTGGGCCTGTGACGGGCTGTTAGCAGCAGCAAGGCGGGTCTTTAGCTCAGCTCGATCTGAACTGCTCGTGTGTCAGAGTGCGACCTTGTTGATGTGTTGCTGGCGGTTATAACGTGTAGCTGTTGACTACGGCTGCATCAAAAAGAAGAAAAAGGCACGCTTCCACCACTTGCGGGTACGGTGGGATAGCCGTTAGTAAGTCAACAGCTGGTCCCCACGGTCGACACCACCCATGTACTTGTTGTACTCGACCACCGCCTGGGCTTCTCCACTGTTTCCCGCCAACAGGAGGACGTCTCGATCGTCGCTCCACTTGGAACAGGCGGTCGTCGTGAATTGTGGACAGGACAGATACGACTCGTTTGTCATGCCACTGCACCACACTCATCCCTTCGTCTACAGGAACAAGACGCCTCTCTCCTTTCTCCCAACCTCATCTTCGCCTCCGCAGGAAACTCCACGTCGAGTCAGTCGCAGAGTTCTACATGCTCCGAATCCAAGTGACCGGAGGCGCAGAAGAGTGCTGGAGACGTTGTAAAAGTTGTCCATGTAAATGTGGTGACCCAGACCGCTGATTGGCTCCACTAGACGCAGTACTACTGCGGCAGTCATCCCCAGAGGATCGCCGAGTGAGTCGTCCTTTCCTAGAGTATGAATAAGACATTCATTATATGTGATGGTTGTGTCTGTATTAGTTTACCTGTGTACAGAATCCAGTTGTACATGTAGCCTGTGGGTGGAATCGGCTAGCTACATAGGCCTTCAAACCCCACTTGGTGGCTTCTTACGGCATGTGTACTGTATGAATGTGAGCTTCCCTTGAAGACCGATCATCGTTTGTCGTCCACACAGATCTCCTCGCGAGCCGTGTAGTGTAGCACTGCTGGAAGTGGCAATGAGGGGCACAAGGAAAGGGCGAGCTTGTTGAACAGTAGATCGTGACCAGGTTCTCCCCTTTTCTTGTAGTTCCGGTTGTGCGTTTAGTGAAGTATATCGGAGGAGGAGAGGATGAGGGTGAACCGGTCTCTCTTCATGCTCTGTGGAGATTGAGACAAAACTTGAAGTTTGCTCATGTGTACATTTTATATCTGTACATAGTTGTGTGCTGCAGCTTACGCTGAGCAGCAGTGAGTATTGTGAATGCCAGAGGATCCCTGCCCAGTGGCTCTCAATCTGAGGTACCTCACCAAGGCCCATGAGCATGATGATGGCGAAGAATCTCCTCAGCTCGTTACGTTCAAACAGACTCTGGGAAAATAGACTCTTGAAAGACCAAGGCGGTTCCGAATTCTGGAGTGTGAGGGATGTCATTGTTGTCAATGTACTGCTGCGCCATGGAGGTTGGATCTGTGTGACTGTGTTTTGCAGCATGTCTTCTGATGACGAGCAGTGAGAAGAAGTCAATTGGTCGTGTTTCCTTCCACAGGAACCGCACAACCAGACTGGAGCAGTCTGTGTGTACTCCGAGGAGTGTGTCGCCATCATCACTGCTTACTCTGTGAACCCACCTCTACATTAGCCCCGACCTCCATCTGTTCCTCCACAACTGGTCTGCACATCTCTAGTTCTCTCTCTAGTAGTCTACATACCCGTCAAAGTGCATCCTCACTATAATTCACTTTCGTTACTCTTCATTTCCATCTTAGTTCACCGAGACATTCTTCAACTGAGAGGGTTGCTCTAGTAGCCATTGCTTTCCAGGAGCACAGGGGAGGGGCTAGATATGGAGAACACTCGCAGGAAAACGGGGGAGAGGCTGGTCGTAGAGACGCGCGCGTATCCGTCTGTCTTTGCGCACATTATGAATATTCAGCAGCTGTAAAAGCAGCGCGCCACTTCGCCGCGCGTTTTAGCGTGAAAAAACTATGAGGTAATGCAAGGGGTGTGTCGTCCGTTGGCAGACGAAGAGATCAGGAGCCAGAAAGAGTTGAGTAGCGAGAGAAATAGTCGTAATGTGGAGCGCTCGCGCTCCTGACAAAAACGGGCATATATCTATATGCCTTCCGGGGAGAAGCTTATGCGCGCGCCCGCATTATACAATGCTGCCGCGCCAAGAGAGTTTTAAACATGGTTGCATAAGCATTGTTGGAAATTTTTACAGCATGCAGGATAGTTATGTCTTTCTGTTTTTCTTTATCAAACTTCTGGAGTTGAGCAGTTAGAGAAAAGGAGGATGGACGTACGTGTAGTAGGCATCGAGTTACTATAATATATTATTGGGTGGATGAAAGTCCATAAGTTCGAAGTATGTGTTAAAGTATGTGTGTTATTTGAGAGACAAAGTACATGTAGTTTGAACACTTAACCAGCACGTACACATATAATGTGTCGCAGCCTACATAAGTCAATAATTTATATGGGGGTTTAATACTAGGCGAGGGGTTTCCTTGGAGACGTACCTCGAGTGGTAGCTAGTTTCTAGCTCTGCTTTCGAAAGTTTTTTTGCTTGAAGTGTTATCTTCTGCTACTTCTGTTGGTTTTGGA